GAACCACGAACCTCGAGATTCAGAGTCGTAAATCCGAAGCACTTATGGACAGAATAATGCATCAGTCTACTGCTTAGGGTTCTCGAGTCTCTTATTTCGGGGATTTTTTGTGTTAGAGAGAGAGAGAGAGAGAGAGAGACCAAACGTAATGGCGTCAATTTTGCACCGAGACTATCCCAAATAAAATAAAACAACTCATTAAAATCACTACCATACGTCTTAAAGCGAAAGGTAAACAAACATTTATATAATCAATAAAACTTTCCTATAAATCTTTCCTTAACCTCAAAAACTCCCTTCTAAGATAACAAATATACCACAGAATGATATAAATTTATTGAGAATGTATATTGTGATGTATGGACGGTTTAATTTAATATATAAACAAATTGGATAACTGTATATTGTCACGTTATCGTACGGCCGACAGCGGTGTACGGGCCATCACCTGTTGCCGACTCGTGACTCAGTATAACCTGTTGTATCTAATTATTTTTTTTTTTCATCAAAGACTAAACGTGACACCCCTAGTTCCTTCCATGGCCCCTACAGTCGCCAGTTAGCTTGTGATCAATGACAGAATGACCCTCCGCACGCAAACGGCATAACAATCACACCTTTGAATTTGATCACGTTCAAGTCAATGGCGAATTCAACACACGTACTGGAACTAATTCATTGAGCACATGACGATTACGAACCTCAGTTTATTACACCTGATTAATTAAACACCCTAACACTAACTGGGGGGGTTTGAGGGGGTAGGTTAAGTTAAGCTTGGTTAAAACAGTTTCATAAAATCAAAAAGTCAACAAATGAGCAACAACACGTAACCCCGACGAGCCTAAACACATTTTCTCTTCTCTTCTCTTCTCTAGTGACCCCGGAGAGTACAGCCAACAAGGAGAGGGTTTGGTTACATTCAATAACATTATACTATCTGGAGGTGCTAGTAATATGGTGTGTTATGTGTCACCCTAACCCTCCCATTCACTCTCACACACACATACCTTCACACCGACACCCTCACCCACCCACGCATACACACCCTCACCCATCCACGCATACACACCCTCACCCACCACAGTATCCCAGGAGTGACAAATATCAGATATCCTTTAAGTTGTAGCTAATATCACTCTTGCACGACACACAGCGGTATTGTTCTCCATAAGTGACATTCTGGTACACTGTTAGCCGCACGACGTGTCACCCAGCACAATAGCCAACTCCGTTTATAACTTGTCTGGCGCCATTCTCACGTAACACATTATAATAGCCACTTGAGTAACCATGGAAAGAGAGGGTCACTGGATTCATAATATAAGTGAAAATTGATTCTACAACGAGCATAACTACACATAAGTGTCTAGTAACGTCATCAAAATACCACAACAGTACTTTACTTATGGTATGTGTTAATAAATATTGAGTAGTCACCCGTGTTCCTCTGTCTGGTTAAGTTCGTGAGTGGTTACGTCAGCTGCATCACGGGTCCAGCCTCAAGGTAAGCAGCGGGTACCATCCTCACCTCACTACCTCCTGTTCCGTCTCTGTCGCCACACTGGCCGCCAGGAGGAGGAAGCCAGGTGCTCCTTCACTACACACACACACACACACACACACAGGCACGAACACACACACAGGCACGAACACACACACACATCTACGGGAAAAAAAATCGCAGGTATATACACACAGTCACATACGCAGTCACACACAGTCACGTGTTGGGATGTGGGTCACAGTGAACACCTCTACATGTTGCAGCAGTAACTAACGGTGAGGGAAGCTGTCGTCCTCACACACACTCAGCCACCAACTCTCCCATGTCACGCACTCACACACCCACCCACCACCACATAAAAGTATTTCTACCACATTAATATAGACAAGTCATCAAGAACTGGTCAGGAGGTGAGTCAGTGGTCAACTTCACACACACACACACACACACACACACACACACACACACACACACACAAGACTGGTATTCACTGAGCAATAGACAACACGTATAGTAATATCTTAAATAATCTTCTAAATATCTGACTGTTTTAATTACTATATAATACCTATATAATTCAGTGTAATTTATTGATACAGATTAGCAAATACTTCGATATTATTACAAATTAACGCCCCCAAAAATACACAACACTGAAAAATGAAAAACCAATTGAATAACGAGAAGCGTTTGTTAACCTGACAGAAGGAAGCGGTGAGACGACGCATCGAGTATCACATTAATAACTTTTTCTCTTAATAGATGGTGCTGATGTATTTTTTCCCTCTCTGGATTAACAAGACTCGGAATTAAACCTCAACTAACACAATAAAACAGCGCGTGGTTCATATGAGCGTCTGTCAGGTGGTTAAGGTTCAATTTGGGAGGTTATGTTTGATTCGCTGGAGGTGCATGGTCTTGTCTTGCCACCGCTCAAGGTAAAACATCGTAGGCCGACCAGCTTGTCCTACGAGTTACTGAGGTGTTCTCGTGAGCTTTAGTTTTAACTATGTAACACACTCGGTCACAGCTTCACTTTCAAAAGAGTCTTAGGAACCAAACTCTTGAATTATCGTCTTATAAATAAATTCATAGAATACTAAACTGTCTAAATTCTACTGTCACTGTTTAAACCTTCGAATATCTACACCTGGACAGTATTTGGATGTTACCTAGAGAGGGAACAGTTGCCTCTATAGCACAGTAAACCCGAAAACATTCTTCTTTCTCTGTCATCCATCAATCATACACAGGCACAATCAGACACAGGCACACACACACACACACATAAACACACCGGAAGGAAGTGTGGTGGGCGTGAACATCCGTATACACCACAACCACCACCAACCTAGCCACCGTGACTGACCCAACACAAGCTAGTGTACTGTACAAACACTGACCAAACGCCCGAGCATGCGTCTTCAGGAGGCTCTTACTTCCTGTACCTGTCCAACACCATGACACAACCCACACCTGCGGCACCTCACACCTGCTGTCGACCACTTACGACACCTCAATCCTGCTGCCGACCACTTACGACACCTCAATCCTGCTGCCGACCACTTACGACACTTCAATCATGCTGTCGACTAAATACGTAAGGTTTTCAATGCCCCACACGACACAAGGCACCTCTCCACAGTATACCTCAGGGCGGAAGAAGTACTGTAACCAACTGTATCTGACCACCACGCTGTATCACTTCTGTAACTACGTGACGAGGCGGTACACTCACTCAGTCTACAAGATCTCTCAATTTTTATGCAGAGAGGGAAGGGGGTGGTGAAGAGGGTGGTGGGGAGGAAGGAGTGAGTGGGGAGGGTGGTAGGGAGGGAGGAAAAAAGAGGGGTGGAGGGAGAAGAAAGAGGGAAGGGGTGGATGAGGGGAGGAAGGGAAAGGGTGGATGAGGGGAAGAGGGGTGGAGAAGAGAAAAGAGAGGAAAAGGGGTGGATGAGGGGGAGGAAGGGGTGGATGAGGGAAGAGAGAGAGAGGGGTGGAGAAGAGAAAAGAGAGAGGGAAAGAGGTGGGGGGAGAGAGAGAGGGAGGAAAGGTGATAGGAGAGGGAAGAAGAAGTGGAGGAGAGAGAGAGGGGAAGGGGTGGAGGAAAGAGGGGAAGGAGAGAGAGAGGGGAAAGAGGTGTGTGGAGGAGGGAAAGAGAGAGAGATGTGTGTGGAGAGAAAAAAGAGAGTGAAGAAGGGGTGAAGGAGGGAGGGAAGAGAGAGGGAGGAGGAGGGAGGAGGAGGAGGGAGGAGGAGGAGGAGGAGGGAAGAGGGAGAAGCCAAGTATCTCGTCTGGGTTCAACTTTGCTATAACATGTTAACACCTCGCGATTTTCCCTCCAGGTTAATTAATTACCAGGTGTGTTTCCTCCCCCCTCCCGGCAAGTGTGTGTGTGTGTGTGTGTGTGTGTAGTAGCCACGGGTGTAATCTCGGTGTACTCCTTGTTATCAAACGTCACGTCGCGTCACAATTTAATGACGTAATCGGTTGTGACGTTATATTGCTGCCTGTTCCTGACGCCATATAGCGACAACACCTTCTACTGTATTTACTGACCAAGGAATAATATAAAGCGTTGAGAGAATAAATTGTGTGACGCTACTAAGATCACCAGAAGATTCGCCCAATTCTAGTTTATTTCACAAGAAGATTAACCACTCTAACGTTATCTGGGGGCTTGGTTTAGATTGGTTTGGTTAGCGTTAAGTCGTATGTAGTGTTAAAAGGTTTTACGCCCGTAGCCCCCTCGCCTATTGTTTGTTTACAGTGAGTGCAGCGCCTCCTGTATGCAATATACCGTCGACATTCATAAATTCACATTATTTCTGGATACGATCATTATTTCTGCTTATAAAAATCATCTCTAAATTCATATGGATTATTTTAAGGATAAATTTATCTTATTTCACCCCCAAAAAATCAGATAAAATATACCTGAATTTCATCCTTACCTTCAGTAGTTACCAACGAGTACATACAAATATACAGTAATAATAACACACCTTTTCATGATCTATAATGAAAATCTAATTAAAAGGTAAGTAAAATATATTAAATAAATAAATCACAATTAAAAGAGAAGAAAAATATGAAGGAAATGGAAGACACAGTGTTTACATAAAGAGACTGTTAATGAGGATGGCATGTTGCAAGTGTCTCGTCCGACAGGTGAGTTGGTACCTTGTTAACACCTGTCGGGACATCTCACCCTCTCAGGCCTTAGGTAACCAACACAACATATATATACAGACGGATTAATCAGCATGGCCAAGAACACGATGCTCTACACACACACACTAACATGCAGCAGAAAGCGTTACTACGGCTGTTAATTTTGTTATTATGAAGATGTTTAAAGTGGTAGCAAGTCGTGCTAGTGGAGGTGACAATACGGTGCTAGGGGAGGTGATAGCGCGGTGTTAGAAGCAGCAGGCAGGCAAGCAAGAGGTGCTACAGGTGCAAGTAAGTATTGTTAGTGGGCGCCATCTACCTGGTAGTTATCATCATCATCATCAGACCCGCCACCACTGTAGTCGACCAGATCAAGAATAGGGGGGCAGAACCCGCCAGTGTGTGAGGAGGAGGAGGCCGAGGTGGAGGAAGTGTTGGTGTTGGAGGTGGACGAGCAGGTGGTGGAGGAGGTGTTAAAGTGTATGGTGTCTTGGTGGATGGGTGGAGGAAGTCCCCCACCACCCAGGCCCACACCACTACCAGGCATCAAGGTGTCTACCGTACCCTCGTGGTTGTGGTGGCAGCTGCCGGACACACCGATGACACCAACACCGGGGCGTCGTACTCCACTGGTAGTATGTTGGTGCTGTTCCTTGCTGTTGTTGGAGCTCCGGGGTACTCCAACACTTCTGGGGGCAGGGGTGGGCTTTGTGTTGGAGGTGGGAATTGTGTGGGAGGGAAGGTTGGAGGAGGAGAGAGGGTTAGTGGTGGTGGAGGAGAATGTGTTGATGGAGTTAGAGGAGGGTGTGTTGGAGAAGTGGTGGTGGTGGTGATGGTGATGCTCTGTTCCTCCCTGACGGTGGTGACCTGGCGGAGTGCTCTCTCCAGGGACTGTGATGACGTCGACTGGCTCTCCCACACTTGCCATATACTCGTCAGCGACACCATCTCTTCTGTAACGACAATAACAAACAATTAATACCACGTCATCAAAACAAACAATACCACGTGGTCAAAAAAACAATACCACGTGGTCAAAACAAAAACAACAATACCACGTCATCAAAACAAACACAACAACAATTATTACGTTATCAACACAAACAAACAATGCCACGTGGTCAAAACAAACAATAATATATCCTATAATAAACATAACATAATTCCTAACAAATAAATTAATAATAAAATAATATAAGTCAAATGAATTTATCCCAAGTGACATTTATAAAAACACTTTAAGAGAGAGACTATTCAGACAGATAGACAGACAGACATGCAAGACACACACACACACACACACACATATATATAGACAGACACACATACACAGGCAGACAGACACACGAAACAATGAAAGAGCCCCCTCCCCCCCACACACACACACACAGATGACAGCCACCAGTGATTCTATTGTAATACGATAGGTTCTCTCCTCTTCATATAACAGCAGGTAAGGTAAGACTCTCTGTGACTCAAGAAAAACACACACACACACACTTACAGGGATATGACACTCTGATGATACCACTGACACGAAACATTGACAGACACGAAATACAAATACGAAACGGAAACACGACATTTACCTCTTTAGCAACCTCTACTTTCCTTGTTTGTGTGCGTATGTCGAAGGAATTCTTGTTTTACATTATTATGACCACAAACACGTGTTCACTAGTATAGCACACCTGTTGTGACGCCAGCAGATGCAGTTGCGTTTCCTGTTGGTGCAGTTGGGACACTTCCTCCAGCGGGGTGGTAGGAGCTTGGCGGGGTTCATCCAATCCCTGAACTTGGTGAAGGGTGTGCTCCTCCCCCGAGTAGGTTCAGTGATCACTATTTTCTCATGCATTGTTATATAGCTACAGTACGTGTGGGTGCAGAGACAGTCCTGCCAACCACTAACTTAACCCGTGTACTGTGGCAGACTGGGTGTCCACACTCGGCAAGGTATAGCGATAAACTGAGGTTGTGGATTAGGGTCAAGCTTTATATACAAGTTCTTGTCGAGAAAAAAAAAATCAGATAGATCTTCCCATGACGTCAGCTGATAACGTAAACACCAAGTCGACGGAAGCACTGCTATACTACACACCGTTCATTAACTGTCGTATTGGCATCACGTCTTTCTATATTTTGCTTGTATCTTAGCACCCATTACATTTTTTAATTTCCTATGGATGAGATAATAAAACCACTATGAACACCCACAAATTATACATCAGTGTTTATCAAAAAATAAATAAATATACATATATACTGTATACTATATACATACTATACTCTGATACAGACTCAATGTCCACCGAGACCCACGACTACACTACGGGAACAAAACCCCACTGATATGGGTCACACGAACTTCAAAACCCACTAACCAGGCAAAAATAAAATAAATAACTAAATAAAAATGCCAACTACATCAATAAAAACGCCATGTAACACTAAAAAATACTGCACCGCCATGAAAACCATACGTTCATTTGTAAAAGATTAACGAATCACTCATATTTTACAAGCCTAGTCACAATAGACATTCGTAAACACATTCTGGGTCATCATATCAATAACATACACAAAAATACATCCTAAAATACTCATGAATCACAGCAAGATTGTAAATAAATAGAATAACCAAAGCAAGAAAGGATAAATAAGTGTTATCTTGCCTTCACAATCCCCAGGCAAATAATAAGATAGCACTACCAAGATGTTGAAACACTCCGATATCTTTTTCATTTTCCGAAAGTCATTTGTGAGTCATGCAGAGTAGATATAAGCCCCAAAACTGGTGATATGACGTAAAGAAACAAGAAGAAAATTTCCTGGCAGTGGTTGGGGAAGCATCGTGTACACTGCATTTCTAATCCTTATTCCTCCCAAATTTTGCTCCTATGATTCCCCTACTGATTTGTTACTTAATATATATTATAAAATAAGGCGACTATATATTCTCAATGACTAACTTTTATTCATCACCTAACGCTATAGTGTGTGGGGGTTTCCTTTCATCATTAACACTAAGTCACATATGGAAAATATCTTCATATATCCTTGTAATATATTTTCTTACTATTGAGATATATCGGTATAGCTATATCTTATCTATATAAAACACAGAAGTATGTCTGTTTGTGTGTGTGTGTGTGTGTGTGTGTGTGTGTGTGTTGTGTGTCCGCACGAGAATCTCGGAAACTACTTTACCGATCTGTAGTGATGATGGATGGTGTTATATGTAGTGATGATGGATGGTGTTATATGTAGTGATGATGGATGGTGTTATATGTAGTGATGATGGATGGTGTTATATGTAGTGATGATGGATGGTGTTATATGTAGTGATGATGGATGGTGTTATATGTAGTGATGATGGATGGTGTTATATGTAGTGATGATGGATGGTGTTATATGTAGTGATGATGGATGTTGTTATATGTAGTGATGATGGGTGGTGTTATATGTAGTGATGATGGATGGTGTTATATGTAGTGATGATGGGTGGTGTTATGTAGTGATGATGGATGGTGTTATATGTAGTGATGATGGATGGTGTTATATGTAGTGATGATGGATGTTGTTATATGTAGTGATGATGGGTGGTGTTATATGTAGTGATGATGGGTGGTGTTATATGTAGTGATGATGGATGGTGTTATATGTAGTGATGATGGGTGGTGTTATATGTAGTGTGATGATGGGTGGTGTTATATGTAGTGATGATGGATGTTGTTATATGTAGTGATGATGGATGTTGTTATATGTAGTGATGATGGATGTTGTTATATGTAGTGATGATGGGTGGTGTTATATGTAGTGATGATGGATGGTGTTATGTAGTGATGATGGGTGGTGTTATGTATGATGGGATGGTGTTATATGTAGTGATGATGGATGTTGTTATATGTAGTGATGATGGATGGTGTTATATGTAGTGATGATGGATGGTGTTATATGTAGTGATGATGGGTGGTGTTATATGTAGTGATGATGGGTGGTGTTATATGTATTCTTTCTTAGAATTCTGAACGTGCTATTGTTTGAGACTACCTTTGCACCACATCCGTGGCCCAACATCATATGCAGCACTCAAGACAGTGAATGGACAAGTCTGCAGAACCTATCAGGAAGCGTGCACTCTCCTTGGCCTACTGGAAGATGATGGTCACTGGAATGACACATTAGAAGAGGCAGCAGCTACTCAATCGCCAATGAGAATGAGGAACCTGTTTGCCATCATGATTGCTACATGTGGACTTTCCAACCCAAGCCAGCTCTGGAAAAACCACCAAGAAAGTCTTTCAGAGGATCTGCTTCATCAAGCAAGAAGAGAACATCCTGGTCAAGAGATCAAGAGATTGAGTTCATGGATGACATGTTCAACAGGGCTCTGATCATGCTGGAAGACAAGGTGATGGTGCTATGCGGAAAAAAACCTGACTGATTTTTGATTGCCTTCCCCAAACCGAGAAGAATCAGTAGTTGCAAACAGGGAGTTGCTCAGAGACACAGACTACTCAGTTGAAGTTCTGGTGAATTTTCTTGAAGAAAATGAGCTTCACCTGGTGCCTGATCAAGTAAATGCTTATGAACAGATCTTGCAAGCGATACAGGCGGACCATGGAGGTATGATCTTTCTCGATGCACCTGGCGGAACAGGAAAAACATTCCTCATCAACCTTCTGTTGGCCAAAGTACGTCATCAGGGGAAAATTGCTCTTGCTGTGGCATCCTCAGGCATTGCCGCAACACTACTAGAAGGAGGACGTACTGTACACTCAACTTTTAAACTGCCTCTCAACCTCGCTCACAATGAGAATCCAGTGTGCGACATCAAAAAAGGATCAGTAAAGGCAAAACTCCTAGAAAAATGCAGCCTCATAGTCTGGGATGAATGCGCTATGTCTCACAAGTTAGCGTTTGAAGCATTGGACAGGACCTTGCAAGACATACGAGAAAATGACCAGCTCATGGGTGGCATTACAATGGTCATTGCTGGAGACTTTCGCCAGACCCTACCTGTCATTCCTCGAAGCACTCCAGCTGATGAACTGAATGCGTGCTTCAAGGCATCATACCTTTGGAGAAGTGTTCAGACACTCACCCTATCCACAAACATGAGAGTACATCTACAAGGAGATCAGGATGCTGGACGGTTTGCAAACCTTATACTACAGATTGGGAATGGAACTTTCCCTGTTGATTCAGAAGGACAAATAATCATTCCTCAAGGATGTGAAAATGTTGTAAAGTCCTCAACTGAGCTCACTAACATGGTCTACCCAAACATTATCCACCACTACAAGGATCACAAGTGGCTGCGTGAACGCGCAATTCTGGCACCAAAGAATGAAACAGTGGCTGAAATCAATATGACTCTACTCAGACAGCTTCCAGGCAGTGAGACCTCATTCAAATCCGTTGATACAGTTATCGACCAGGATCAAGCAGTCCAGTACTCTGCAGAATTCTTTAATTCTTTGGAGCCCGCTGGAATGCCTCCTCACCACCTCACTCTCAAGATTGGAACTCCTATAATGCTCTTAAAGAAATCTTGAACCACCAATCCTCTGCAATGGCACAAGACTGGTGGTGAAGAACATGATGCAACATGTACTGGAAGCTACAATACTGACAGGAAAAGCTAAAGAAGAGGACGTTTTTATAACAAGGATACCTCTCATCACCACTGACCTGCCATTTGAGTTCAAGCGACTTCAGTTCCCGGTTAAAGTGAGCTTTGCCATGACCATCTACAAAAGCCAGGGACAGTCCCTAAAGATGGTTGGCCTAAACCTGGTGTTTCGTTGCTTCTCTCATGGACAGTTCTATGTTGGATGCTCCAGAGTGGGAACTGGCAAAAATCTGTACATACTTGCTGCTAATGGCAAAACCAAAAATGTGGTCTACCTTAATGCACTACAGTGAGACAATGTGGAGCCTCCCGGAGGGTTGCGTCCTACCGTGGCCTCGCGAAAGAGTGATTCCGCTAGTTAGTTTCTATATACTGTCATTTTTTCTCCTAGGATGATCAATAGCGGGGTGTATGTGTGAATTTTTCTCCCAGGACGGTTTTGGCGTCTTATACTACACCGAAAAAATCCAACTTAACGTTAACCTTAACTAACAATAACATACATATGATTTATTTACCTTATTAACACGTAGTTAGTTATAGCAATTAATACACATATAACATACAATTCTAGTCCTATTTTCGTACTAATCTGAATACAGTATCTTTTAAAAATACAACAAAACTATTTTATCCGATTACTGCACCACACACGTCATCGGTCATTAGATACAGTAAATATGTTTATATCCAATGAGATTACTAATTAAAACTGGATACCAATAAGTATGACGAAATACTTCGGTAAATAATTATAATAATGATCCCTTTAAGAAGAAAATCACCAATGTCGTAGATACAGGTCATGTAAATAAATATCGATGCATTACCCCTTTGAATATTTATATAATTAATGTACACGTTTAAAGACCTTAACTAGTAGTTAAAGCGCAGTAGTACATTATAACATTACCTTCTACAGTATATTAACATGATGCGGGTAACGAACTCAATTACATCTTGCAGTGACTTAAATAAATTCTTCCTAATACTGGCGTCAAATACTCCATTAATAAAGATGTTTGAAGGCATTAATGGCATCTGAGACAAAGTTAATCACATAATATTATAATTTTCTCTCTAATCAACCATTTAGTCAGCGATTTAGTACAGTGTTAATGATATGAAAACCCAGTGATGTGAGTGGAGGGGAGGAAGTGGTACGGGTGGGATACGAACATATTAATATTTTTTAGTTATATTATTATTGGAATTTAAGGTTCATATGTAAAGTTATTTTGAAAAGATTAATTAAAATATTACAATTAAATAAAAAAGTAAAAAAAAAAAAAATAATAATAATAATAATAATAAAAATAATAATAATAAAACTTGTGTATCTCAATAAAACGTAAACAAATAATACAATACTAACACCATCACCAGCAATTACCATCATCACAACCATCACTCCCACTATCATCATCCTATGTCACAACCCCCACCACTATCACCACACCCTCCACCACTATCACCACACCCTCCA